CTTTGCACTTGTGTTTCTGAACACCCCTCTGTCCTTTCAGCTGTCCCTCTGAACTCCTACTCCACTCCCCTCTGGTTCCCATTTTCAGTTTTCCTTTCGTCATCTTTTCGTGTCTGACTCTGAGATAATGAGTTGCAAGCCTGCTCTGAACTTGAATTACTGGGATTCTTGGCGAAGATCTGATCAACAGATTTACTCTGATAATCGCTGCAGCGATTAGTGTAATTCACCATTGCCCACAAAAAAGCTTGTAGGAACAAGTCTCTGTCAGAAATCTCTTCCAGATTTGTTTGTGAATCTGTGTTCCTGTTGAATACAAATGGGAGGAGTACCATTATGATAGCACACGTGAGTGTCCTGGGCAGGTCATAGGGTGCTCAAGCACAATATTGAAAAGACTGAAGCTAATGGCCTAGATTTCCGATGATAAAATAACTATTTCTGAAGTGTGGATGGGAGGTGTCCATAGAATTCCCAGCTTTGCAGAATCTGAACGAATTGCCCTGGAATTTGAAGATTCCATTGGATAATACCCCCATGCCTGGAAATCTCTGGAAGTCTCCATTTATATTGGAGAACACTGCAATTAAGCAAACAGTTGTTCAGGAAAAGTGAGATTATTAAATAGAATCCCTAGAGTGCAAAAATAGGCCACTTGGCCCATTGAGTGTGCACTGACCCTCTGGAGTACATCTCATCCAGACCTACCTACCACCCTATCCCTGTAACCCTGCATGTCCTGTGGATAATCCACCCAGCCTGCACATCCCTGGACACGATGGGCAATTTAGTATGACCAATCCACCTAACCTGCACATCTTTGGACTGTGGGAGGAAACTGGAGCACCCAGAAGAAACCCACACAGATACAGTGAGAATGTACATACTCCTCACAGACAGTTGTCCAAAGCAGAAATCAAACAGGGACCCTGGCGCCTTACCGCCAATCTACAGTGGATTCATGGTCACCATTAGACTCTTAATTCCAGATTTTTATGGGGAGGTGATGACAATTTATGCAAGAGGAGCAGAAATAGGAACAGAAGCAGATGATACTGCAGATGCTGTAGATTGTCATAAAAACCCATCTGGTTCACTAATATCCTTTAGGGAAGGAAACTGCCATCCTCACCCGGTCTGGCCTACATGTGACTCCATACCCACAGCAATGTGGTTGATGCTTAACTGCCCTCTGGGCAATTAAGGATGGACAGTTAATGCTAGCCTAGCCAGTGATGCCCTTATCCCATGAATGAATGAAAATTCAACTATTCAGTTTGAACCTCTCCTTGCTGGCCAGCCAACCTGATACAGTGAATACAAATTTCCTCATTTTTTCAAGTGAAAGCTGGACATGTTTCTCACTGGGGCATAGACCACCGTATACAGCAAGAGAAAGAAACCTTGCAACATTAATCAGGGCCAGCGTGATCATTTGTATTAGTTCTGATTGATAATTGTATATTCATTTTATGCAGGTGATGGGCATCATCCCTCAATTCCCTTATGTTGCTATGAAATGAAGTAGATGGGATCTTATAGCACAGTAACATTGTCCCTACCTTTGGGCTAGAAGATGTTGGTTCAAGTCCCATCTGCCCTAGAGGTGTGCCTGAGCAAGTTGATGAAAAATAATTATTTGAAAAAGAGTAAACTAAAATTATAGTTGTTGAAGTAATGTGTATCTCTGTAAATAAAGTGATAAATGGCTGTAGAGTTTAGTTCCAGTTGTATCCTTCAACTGGCTTTCCAGAGTAGAACATGGTAGTGCAAATAGGTTACCTAATAGTGTCAGGTTAAACACACAAATCATATTAAATTGTATCACGATGTAATAATGACCTTTTCTCCATTGAAAGAAACTTGAGTATAAACAAGGCAGACTAAAGAAGCATTCTGTCAGAAATCTACGTTAATCAGTAGTTTGAACCATTACCACTGCTATTAAACATAATCCTGGTATTTAAATTTGTCTCCAAATACCATGATCTGCCTCTTATACTCCTGCATTTAGTCAGTCTGGTATTTGATACAAAGACAGATTATATTGGAAGAATTTCCCAGGTGGATACCTGAAAACATGATAGAAAACTGCAAACGTTAGCAGTCATATCCCAGAGGTACTTCACAGTTTATGGTGTGCTGTGGCAGATTTTATGAATAAAAAATAATTTCTACTGATAGGGACTAGCTGGAGCTTCCAGTTACTCATTAATGGTAAATAATTTCTACAATTAAAACTGAAATTTAAAATTGAAATAATTTAGCACCAGCACAGCAGGAATGTTCAATCAGACTGGACAGTTACCCATGTTGCCCCATTTGTAGCTCAGCAGCTTTAACCAATAGTAGAACCAAGAGTATCTGAGAAATAAAACTGGAAATTGCTGGAAAAGCTCAGCAGGTCCGGCAGCATTTGTGGAAAAAAATTAGGGTTAACATTTTGGGTCGAGTGTCCCTTCCTCAGAACTGGTCACTCGACCTGAAACATTAACTTTGATTTCTCTCCACAGGTGCTGCCAGACCTGCTGAGCTTTTCCCGCAATTTCCAGTTTTATTTCTGATTTACAGCATCCGCAGTTCTTTTGTTTTTTTATCAAGAATATCTCAGGTTTGACTCCATAGTCTGATTTGATGGTACAGGCAAACAATTGGCTACAATAACGCTGGGGGGACGTTTCTCCCAGGATTCTCACTCCGTTCATGGAGTCCTGCCACACCATCTCCAGCCCCTCCCCCACAACCCCCACTACTCCTTGCTGAATATATCTTTGTGCAGATGTCAGGTAGCTTGGGTACAGTCCTTCCTTCCTGTGTGCTAAAACCACATCATCTTGTGCCATTCACCATTCACGCATTAATAGTGACTGCTTGGATAAATTATAAGTATGTGACTGTTAGCTATGGAACCATATTAGTAGCAAGATTCTACAGCTTCAGAAGAGACATGGAAGGAACGAACTGATAGAGAAAAACATATTTATGCTAAAAGCATGTTTGCCAAGGCATGACTTCTGCACACATTCCGCAGTGCCTGGTTCAAAAGATCAACTAGATAAAGAAAATGTTTGCTTTGAAATGTGTTCTCTTGTAATGAGCAGCAACCTGTTCAATGCTGAATATACTTGCCTCAGCACATTATATGTTCCACCCTGAATACTGAGGCAGTAATGCCATGTTCTACCATAAGGTGATGCAAATTGAAAAATGTTGCAAGCCCCCTTGTAGCTAGCGGGTGATTCAGGAGAAGGGAAAGTGTGATCAAGCACAGCGATAGAGGAAACTCTTTTTTTTGGGGAGGGAGCAGGTGAAGCTGCTTAATATGGATACAGCACTGAATACCTCCAAAACCATGTTAGACAAGAAGTCTGAGGGGAGGCGTTGTGAAGTGGAGGAGGGGACGGGGATGCGCGAGGTGGAGAAAGGAGATAAGAAGTGATGGCGCACAAGGAAGGTATGGGGTCACCTTCAAATGTTCCCCTATATTCAAATTGCTTATTTGTCCCACTCAGAACTAGATATAACTTCTGTTGCTGGACATCTATTATAGATTGTCCTGAATGCATTCAATGAATTCTTCACTTTACCTTATATCGCAAGTCTTTACCTTATATCGCAAGTCTTTACCTTATATCAGACAGGAAAAGATGAGATCATTAATTCTGTACAATACCACTGGGACACCATCTGTATCACAATACACTCCCTAGCTGAAGCCAAGAAAATCTCTTGGGAGGGCTGAATAACAAGATTTAAAGAAAAACAAAAATTAATTAGGAGGACAAGAAGCTGAAAGATTCTTGTCTGAATCCTTTAGGCATTGAAACTAGTCTGGGAGGCCACCTGGCCTTAATTAATCTTGCGTGATAACTATCTCCTCTTTAAGGTGATCCCTCAGTCTGTCCAAAGTCAGTTTGCTCAAGGATACATTAGTGGAAAACCTAATCTAGCCAAGACAAAAAGAAGAAGGAGCAACATTAAATCTATTTCTGCTCTCCCACAGCATGCAGATATGATCCTTGTTCCGACCTAGTCAATTCAATTTCGTTAACTGGACTATGTTATCATTCTCTCCATGCCCAATGAAAACCTATTAATGCTCACCCAGATGAATGTGGACCTCACCTTATCACAGATGTCAGTCAATTTAGAACAGATGGACAAAGTAGGCCAGCAGCTGTGAGATAGCAAATAATTACATTGTGGCTGATAGAAACTGGAGTTTACAAGAAATAAGCATAGAGGATGGGTCCAAAAGAAATGGCTTGCTTTGTGGGCAACTTGTACGTCTTCCAAACATACCTAAGTTCTTCATAGCAAACAATTCATTTGCAATCATAGTAATGTAGCATTTAAAAAATATTCTTACATGGAATGTGGGTGTCACTGGGAAAGAACAGTTGCTGCCCATCCCTAGTTGCAATTGAACTAAGTGAACTAACCTACTTAGAAGACATTTAAGCGTCAATCACTTTGCTCTGGTTCTGGTGTTATCATGGAGACCAGGTAAAGATAGCAAATTTAATTCCTAAAGAGCATTGGTGAACCAGATGGGTTTTTACAACAACCAAGGAACTATTGCCGAATCTAACTTTCAATTCAAGATTTATCAATTGCATTTAAATTGCACATAATGCTATTTGAACCCATGGCCTCACAGCATTAGGCTGAACCTCTAGATTATTAGTCCAGTGTCATCACCATTGTGCTTCATGCCATACCAGCCAATTGATCACAGACTGGACCTAGCAATTGGATTAGTGACTGGTCAATGTGTTTTGCAATACAGCAACAAACTACCAGATCTCAGCCAATATTCTCAGATCTGGCATTTGCAGCTACACATGTGGGCTTTTTCGTTCTGTTTCCTGGATTTCCTCCAAATATTGCCCTGTGTTTAAGGGGTCCTCTGTAACAGACAGCTTGAAGAAGTGTTGTTTGTTGTTGAAGTAGAGATATTAGGAAGAGATTTTTAAAACATGTCGAAATGATATGAAATAAACATTTTCCAAAGTTTTTATTACATCAGAATTAGCAACAATTGGATTATCCTATTCACATCGCATGTAGTTCATCTACGTCATCATTGTGGGGATCCATAAGACTACGACTGAATGCCCAACTGTAAGTAAAGGATTTTATAGATTGTTTCTTAGGTTAAGTAACATTGAATAAGCCAATCCATAATTAATGGATGTGAATAATTCCAGATACTCAGGCATTCTCTCCAAGGCACTGTCATCTATAGTGTGTGAATTTATGACTGGCAATCAAATCTTAGTATCCATTAACTTCTGAAACTTCCAGATTACAGGAAAATTGCTCGAACAGCAATATGGGAATTCATTGTTTCAGTCAGACCCTGTAAAGCAATAAGACAAGAAAAAAACTGATTTTCCAATTTCTGCAGAAAAATGATAAACCAAATAGTCACATTAAATATTGGGAACATTTTAGTTTGTACCATAGCAAATTACCCACAGAGTTCAAGAACAAATTACATTTTTCAACCAATAAGTAATCATCAATTAAAAGATCCCTTACATTTATTTTCCAGCATTTTAACAAGCCTATAAAAAGGACTTAAATGGAGGAATGTTAACTGCAGATGAGAGCTTTGCTTTGGCAACTTCTTTTCAAAGTTTTCACCCCCTCACTGTTTCATCGTCCCGTAGCCTTGTAACCATAGGCTTTCTCAGTCCAAAGAAGAAAGCTGCCAAACTGGGTCCTTGCAATGCTACTAGAGCTGGGGAGGAATTTAAGGGATGAAATAATCCCTTAAGTATCTCATTCCTGTGCGACACACTCCCCAGCCTTGATCACATGTCAAATTATATGCAGGAACTCTACAGACGTATGCATTTCCTCTCCTGACACTCAGTCAGAACTGAGCTTTGAAGTTCCAAATGTATGTGACATACAGCATTTTCTTATTAGAAAAGTTAATTTTTACACTTGCTCAATTTTCCTTTTTTTAATTTATTAAAGTAGGATTTGGGAACTCCACGCTCTTGTAAAATCTCACATTTGACCTATTTCCAAAGGATATGGATTAAACATTTAGTAAACAGCCTTTGAATTCTGATACTATCTCATTTCTTTAAAACTAGATTCAAACAAATAAATGTATGCTTGATTTTGGACCAATCTCACCATACTGGCTGGCTTGCTGTCAAATTGATTGTAAGTGAGTGTGGTGCCACTGTGTAGGCTGAAGAGTTAGAGGAGCAACAGGGCGTAGAACAACTTATATTACAGCAAAGAAAATGTATTTACTTAACAAACAGCAGGTTCTCCTTACATAGGCCGCTACAACAAACGACATTGGAACAAGCAATAGAGTAAAGTAAACAAGAGTCCGTTAAATAGCAACTCAAGACTGAAACCATAAGGAAGACTCCCTGTCAAGCAGGATTATGGAGCAAAATGTATACATGATGGAAATTGAGTGTAAATCATTCTCAGTCACTTATAGCAGATTGTGGTCCCCCACTTGATTGATGAGGCAATTTTTACTCTGGCCTATGTTGAGTTGTCACTATATGCTGCCAATAAATTATTATAATGTTCCAGCTTTGGTGAGGCTATATTCAATTTGAATAAAAGCTGACACTAGAGTCAACTTGAGAATGGGGAAAAGAAGTAGACTGTGGTGATAGCATGCTTTCCTCTGGACTGAAGACGAAACTGCAAAAACAAAAAAAAACAGAAATTGCAGGAAATGCTGCCAGACGTGCTGAGCTTTTCCAGCAATTTCTGTTTTTGTTTCTGATTTACAGCATCTGCAGTTCTTTCTGTTTTTATTTACAAAACTGCAAAACAATGTTCTGTTTCAGGATGATTCATTGTACAAGGAAGCATTGCATACCCATTGTTTTGTATCAATACATAAAGTATAATTGCACTGATTAAAATAAGTGATTCCAATTATAAATATTACTCTCTATGTTCGCGCTACATGGAGACGAAAGGTTGCTCTAATAGTTCTACTGAAGAATTGTAAGAATGTCACATTTGGTTCTGATTCTGTCTCAAGTTTCAGTAGTATCGGTCGCTCCTGTGAACAATCTGAGCATCTTACTCAGACGGGAGTTGACTGACACTGTCTTATTTAGCAGCATCACCCAGATTTGTAACAAGAGTTCATCATTTCTGATCTGACTTGGATAAGCTTGGATTGTTCTCTTTGGAGCAGAGAAGGTTGAAGGGGGACCTGATTGAGGTGTATAAGATCATGAAGGGCATGGACAGAGCAGCTAGGAAGCAGCTGTTCCTCTTAGCTGAAGGGTCAATAACAAAGGGAGAACGTTTTTAAGGTGAAAAGCAGGTGGATTAGAGGGGACTTGAAAAGATTTTTCGCCCAGAGCATGATGGGGATCTGGAATACACTACTTGGCAGGTAATTGAGGCAGGTAACCTCACAACCTGTCCATCTTCCCACTCACCTATCTGCTCCACCCTTCCCACTGACCAATCACAATAACCCCGTAGCTGCATCCAACTATCTTCATCTCATCTACCCTTCCCCCAGCCCCACCCTCCTCCCTCTATTTATGTCTGGTCTCCACCTACATCCCCCCTCCCCCTCCCCAGTCCTGACGAAGAGTTTAGGCCCGAAACGTTGACCTTCCCTGCTCCTCGGATGCAGCAGTGCATACTATCTACAAGATGCACTGCAGAAATTCACCAAAGATCCTCAGACAGCACCTTCCAAACCCACGTCTGGAAGGACAAGGGCATCAGATATATGGGAACACCACCACGTCCACGTTCCCCTCCCAGTCACTCACCATCCTGACTTGGAAATGTATCACTGTTCCTTCACTGTCGCTGGGTCAAAATCCTGGAATTCCCTCCCTAATAGCGTTGTGGGTCAACCCACAGCAGGAGGACTGCAGCGGTTCAAGAAGGCAGCTCACCACCACCTTCTCAAGGGCAACTAGGGATGGGCAAGAAATGCTGGCCAGCCAGCAACACCCACATCTCACAAATGAATATAAAAAAAAATGTTAATCAAATGTATTTGGAATTAGAAGCTAGTTTTGGTAGTCGTGAAAATGTAGTTATTGTACTCTTGGAACAACTCAGCTGATTTGCTAATATCCTTTAGACAGGAAAATCTGCTGTCTTTTTCTAGACTTGTCCACATGTGACTCCAGACCCACAGCAATGTGGTTAACTCTCAGATGGTCTAGCAAGCCACTATCATAGGAAGTTTTCCATCTTGTGAAACCGTGGTGTGTGCTGTGGTGGTCACTTATGTTAAGCATTGTGGAACGTGACTCAGAAGCCTCACCCTGGCCTGGCAGTCCCTGATTGCTCAATGTTCAGCACCATTCGCAACTTCTCAGATACTGAAGCAGTCCATGTTCAATGCAACAAGATCTGGACAATATCTAGGCTTGGGCTGACAAGTGGCAAGTAACATTCGCGCCACACAAATGTCAAGCAATGACCATCTCCAATAAGAGAGATTCTAATCATCGTCCCTTGACATTCAATGGCATTACCATCATTGGATTCCACACTGATCAACATCCTGGGAGTTACCATTGAGCAGAAACACAACTGGACTTACCACACAAATACAGTGACTACAGGAGCAGGACAGAGGCTAGGAATACTGTGGCAACATACTCACTTCCTGACTCTTAAGGTCTGTCACAGGCATGAGTTGGAAGTGTTATGGAATACTCCCCACTTGCCTGGGTGAGTGCAGTCCCAACAACACTCAAGAAATATGATACCATTTAGGACAAAGCAGCCCACCTGATTGGCAACACATCTACAAGAATCCACTCCCTCCACCACCGACAGTCAATAGCAGTAGTGTGTATCATCTACAAGACACAACACAGAAATTCACCAAAGATCCTTAGACAGTGCCTTCAACACCCATGATCTCTTCTATCTAGAAGGACAAGGGCAGCAGATATGTGGGAACAACATCACTTACAAATTAAAATAAAATGAAGAGCAATGGATGCAGGAAATCTGAAACAAAAACAGAAATCCTGGAGAAATTCAGCATGTCTGATAGCATCTGTGGGAAAAAAGCGGACTTAATGCTTTGGGTCCACTGACTCTTCATTAGAATTGATTCTGAACAAAGGTCACTGGACTTGAAACGTTGACTCACCACTGATGCTGCCAGACCTGCTGAGTCTCTCCAGCAATTTCTGTTTTGGTTTCAGATCTCCGGCATCCACTGTTCTTCACTTGCAAGTTCCCCTCCAAGTTCCTTGCCAGTGCAGTATCATCAGAGTGACTTGGAGCACATTTGTCCTGGACCTCAGGCAGGGAAGGCTGACCAGCCTTCCATCACTTCAGGTAGACAAGTATCAGGTAAGTAAGTAAGTCTACACCTTCTGTAGATGACCTGAATGCATAAGATAGCAGCAAAGAGAAGAAATTTCCAAAGGCTGTCGGTGGGTCAGAACACTACCTGATTGACTATCTCACAATGGAAAAGAATTGCAGAATACAGCAACCTGAATATAGGGACAAAAACCTGACATTTTCAGAAAGGTGAAATCGACTCACCTGATTAAATACATAATGAAATAAACTTAATGGGAATGAAATGAAGGCTCGAGTATCTAATGTTGGCCCATCATCATTGATCTTCACCATCTTGTTGTCATGGAGAGGTCACATCAAGCACCTTCGGTAGACAGCCAGGTTTCTCCAGCAGCTCTTACTGCCCATGGCGTTGGTGAAATGAATGTGGTTGATATATAGTTGTTCTTTGTTTATTTTGTTCGCATCCTCATGTAGCTGCTGGACTGAGAAGATCAAGTCAACTGTGGACCTTCCAGTTCTGAAACCAGACTGGCATTCAGGTCCAGTGCCTGCAATGAGGCTCTCCAGGCTGACGGGGCAATGATACGTTTCCCACGTGACGCTCAGCAGGGAGGTGTCTCCATTGATTTTGCAGGCACTGTGGACATCATTATTCTGGGTCAGGGTCACAATCTCGCAAAGCCAAAGAGGTTCGTGCAAATGCTGCAGGAGTGACAGATTCTCGTTTTTGATGAGTTTATGTGGGGCAGCACTAGGGCCTCAAACTTAGCTTATGGGTCAACAGCCTAACAGAGCCTCTCTACTGCGGGTTTGATATCCAGCTCTTCCAGCACAGGCAGGCCTCCTATGGTTTCTAAAGCAGAATTCATGAACTTTTTTCTCACTGTCACTTTGTTTCAAAGCTTGAAAATTCTCGTGACCCCGCAAGGATGGACAGCCTGTTAGAGTTGGGGAGTAGCTGGCTGTTAGAGTGGGGACAGAGCTGTTATGACTCACTGTGGCCATTGCTACAACCCTAAAATCTCAGCTCCTTCTTCAATGTGGAGTTCCAACTTCCCC